GCCCTGGGGCGCACTGACAGAGGCGAGGCTGCCGGACACTGGCGCCACCGGGCCCTCTGACCACCACCAGTAGGCAAACATGGGGTTAGTATCTTGCCCAAGGATATTTGGCATGCAGCCAGGAGGCAGCCTGGGATCGAACCACCGACATTCTGATTAGTGGCTGACCTGCTCTGCCACCTGAGCTACAGCCACCCCTTGTGTAGTCTACTTGTGTGGAGTTTGTGTTGGAGTCTGTGTTTCCAGATGCAGATTATGCAAGAAGAGACGATTTTATCCAGTGAATAATTCTGAGCCAAAAACTTTGAACTTATTCTTTCACCTTCTTCTTCCCCTTCAGTTCAGGAGAAGAAGTTTGACATGTCTGTGGAGGAAATGCTGACTTGCTGCTGGGACAATGAGAGGATCTGGCGCCTCCATAACCACCTGGATGACAATGGAGATAATCCATTGCTGACTGAGGACAGACTTCCTAATTTACCTGAGCACAGAGGGGACACCTTGGTGTTCCCGTGCATCTTCAGCGCCCTCCAGTGGATCATACAAGGCAGGGAATCAATGCTGGCCGATCAGGCCAAGATGACGCTGCCGGTTAAACCGAGCTTCACGGCCAAAGCTGCTCCTCTCCGCGAAGCTAGTGAGATCCACGTCCTCATTACTGGAAGCCTTTACCTGGTGGGAGGAGCTCTCAAACACCTGGACACAGCTTCCTCCAAGTGAACAGAAGTGTTTTTATTTGCACAACTGGGAGGCATTTGCTTCTAGGGAAGAGGGTTGGGTGTGGTGTTAGTTTTTCTAGACTTATTTTCCTGAATCTGATTATTTTCTCTGTATGGTATGAAGGTAACTTTTGCGTACATTTTTGTAACAGTGGCCAAAACTCAAGTTTCTAAGTGTGACTGGATTGCAAATAAATGATCTTTTAAAATGTAAAGTTTTTGATCACAGACTGGATAATGTTGCCTTCAACACTTTTCTCTTATTTGCATCACTAAATGCATCGGATTCCTCGTTGGTTCCAAGTCACAGAGTTTTGCAAGCTGGACTCTATGAGTCATTTTGACCTTGAATTCCAGTATTTGATCAGAGTAAACATGAAACTAGACTATATGCTGTGATACACAAATGTAAGATGACATTCTGCTGATCGGCAAACATTTTCATTCACCCATCCAAATGATTGAATTCAGGTGTTCCAATTACTTCCATGACCACAGGTGTATAAATTCAAGCACCAAGGCATGCAGACTGCATGTTCTCTGCAGTGATGAGTCAAGCTTCTCTTTTTGGAAATCTGATGGGTGAACCTGAAATGCTGAGCTGGTTCAAAAAGTGCTTACAGTATGAACTCGAACATTTAAGAAAGGACAGAGCTTCATCTCCATCAAGGAGTTGTACCTCAGCCTCCTATTTGCAAGGTCTTTAAACACTCCAATATAGTAGATACCATGCTGTGCCTGTGGTTAACTTAGACAATTCTGCTCTACATCTGAACCACAGGGGACACTCAAACACATACTCACATTAAACATTTGTGCAAAACAGTCGTATGAATGTTTAGTTCTGAAACTCTTCTTAACTCACTCTAAACTGAACCTCATTAAATATTAAACCCTGTTTGTCGGCAGCGCTGAAGACAGAAAAGTGGAAAAGGACCCCGAATAACAACTGGGTGACAATGGATCAAATCTGGGTGCTGGGTTACTGGCAAAAATACACAACACAAACACACATGCTTCCAAAAACACACACACTGGAAAAGAATCTGAAATAATCAACTGATTAAAAAAAACAAGTGGTTCAAAAGCACAAAACACTAAAAGACAAATCAACACAGGGAACAATGGGAAAATTAAAACGTACCAAACAGGTGCAAAAAAAGAAGAAATAAAACATGGTGTTCCACATGTGATGTGGGGTAATACTGAGGTGGTACATTAAAAGTAGTGATGGGGGAAAACAAAAAGGTTGAAGCTTCTAAACCAAAGCAACCACGACAAAACTGCACAATATAAAACAAGGTAAAAGTAAAAACAAAACAGAAATCAAGTCCTGAAGGTAAGTCCAAACTTTTCATGTAGTGTAGAAACAAATAGTTTTCTTTACCCTGAGACGTAAAAGCAGCTTCAGAGCTCGGCCCTGCACTCTGAAACTAGCTCCACATATGCAGGATCTATTTTCTTGGTCCAGGTTTTCTTATCCTAACATCAGCACCCACGTGAAGCTTGTCATGAATGGGATAAGTCAACCCAGGGTTTGTTAACCTCGCTGCAAGAGTGCTGACATGAAAGAGATGATGCCGGTAGCATCTGACCAATCAGAAACAAGGACAGAACTGGTGGCAGCAGAGGCTCATTTTACAAAGGAAACTGTAATACCAGGACAGTGTGGGACACTGATTTATTTATTACGACAGTCAAATTTGATGTGTAACAGTGCTACACTGTGGTCAGTAAGGATATTAAATTCTTACTGAAGAGAATTACCATTGATGATCAGTGGGAAAGATTGAGACAGTTGAAGTGCTTGGAAGTATCCACATGATGAGGGTTCAATCTCTGCATGGGAAGACAGTTATTCAGATGTGTTAACCACCAGACCCACAAACAAAAACCAAACTGTTCCAGTTAAAGTTCCAGCTAATTCTGCTTACTTAAACCCAAATATCTGATTTTTTTTTTTTGTCATTTTTCAGCACATCACTAAATCTTTGTGATCTTTTCACCTTAAACACTGAAATGTTGAATGTGACCTTGAAGAGCGCAGAGCTGACAGAACTTTTGTTTCTGGGGAGCTCTATCTTCACCATCTTTTATCCACCATCCCATCCCAATCTACCATTTTTGGTCGATTTGTGTCAGTTTCATGATAATTGTGAAAATTGGGGGTTTTTTTTGCTTCTTGTCTTCCTTTTTTCTTAATACACCTTGTCTTCTACCTTTTTTTGAATTTGCACTTTGTTTTCTTGCTTTATTTAGTCTTTTATGCCCCATTGACAGATGGTTTTTCCTTTTGCTTTCAATCACCTTTCTATGTTAGGGTATTGGTGACGGTCCCCATGAGGGTCCCCACATGTCACGTGGGAGGCCAAAGTTCAATTCTCTGATGAGGTACTGTTACAAAATTAACAAATATGAGTTGACTCTTGGGGTAAAAAATCTCCAAAACACTGACATGGTATTTGTTGCCATGTAGACTACAAGTTTAAACATGAAACAGAGAGAGAAACATGGAGCACCAGACTCTGTTAGCTTTTTCCTCCTTTATTCTTAGGGCAAACTGTTTCTCTTATGTAGTTTTCATTGCGGTTATCACACATGGAAAACATTCTTTGTTCAAATGCAGATGGAAACAAGGTTGTTGGGTAGCTCATGAACCAGATGAAGCAGTCATATCCCAGCTGACATGTTCCCCTTACGTTTTCTTTTTTACGTTTCAAACGTTGTTTTCAGTCAAGTGTAACTTGGAAAAAAGCGAGATAACGGCAACATTTCTTTTTTTTAACTTCGTCATTTTGTTTGGCTTGTTGAGTTGATTGGCTTTTGTTTGGTCCAATAGTAAGAGAGAATGCCGCATTACCGCGAGATCCTCAACCAATGGAAGCGTCGGTGGGCGGGGCTACGTCCTCCATCTAACGTAAGCGTCGTTAGTAGGAAGAAGAAGCCGATTCTGGAAGCCATTACGTTGCGCACATTACCGGAGTAAATCCTACTATTTTTGCGTACAATACGCACAATTACCTGCCGTAAAGACGCTTTTCTGCACTTATGGCATCGGTGGCCAAAAAGAGAAAAATGAATTTCTCGGAGAGGGAGGTGGAAATTATAGTGGAAGAAATAGAGAAACAAAAGCACACACTGGTTAACCACTTCAATGCCGGAGTCACACACATGGCCAAGAATAACGCGTGGATGGACATCCTGAAAAAGGTGAACCAGGTCACCACCTGTCCGCGCGAGCTGCCCGAGGTCAAGAAGAAGTGGTCCGACATGAAGACGGAGGTCCGGCGGAAGGTGGCCCAAGCGCGGGCTGCCATCGAGGGGACGTCCGCGGACTGCACTCCAGTTCCCGTCATCCTCACCGCCATGCAGCAGCGGATCTGTAACCTGCTGGGAGAGGCCACCATCATCAGCCTACCTGCCGGAGACTCGGATGCGGAGATCACCTTACCTGTGACCGTCAACGCCGCCGCAACCGTCACTCTGACGGAGGGTGAGTGCCGCACGGTGAAGTACGGAAAGTGAAGCGTACCGAAAATAACTGTGCGCGTAACACTGTAAAAAAATTAAGTGTGAATATTGAGTGAGTATTTTCTGAAACAACTGAAAACGCAGAAAAAAGTGAATGAAAATGTTATTAAATGTCACAGTAAACATTATAGTTTAGTTACATTTATGTTTATACCTGAACAATAAATGTAAAGTTAAAAATTGGTCTGTAAGTTAAATGTTTACAAGTATGGTTTAATATTGCATTCTAATCCAAAATACTACATGAAATGCAAAATAACTAAAACTACATAATAACGACACAGGCTTAATATTTTATGTAAGTATTTTTAAATGTATTATTACATGTAAACAAAAAGCTAATAGCTTATTAAATTTACATTTAAAAGTTAATAGGTTAATGAAGTCTTTTAATTAAATCTGTGGGATACATACTAAAAAATAGGAATTACATTCAAACTGCATTCAACCACAAATGTACTAAATTCTAAATATTAAATTTAAATTATTATCTATTATTATAAGATACTTTTAAACATAATATATAGTGTATAATGTATGATTATAAAAACATTTAAACATAAATGCAAAATGTTAAATCTAAATATTAAAGACACAGACTGGATACTACCATAGTTAGCTATTGAAAGCCAAGTGGGCAACATTTGACACCAAAAATTTAAAAGTAATGTAGTAAATGTTAAATCCTAATATTACATTTTAATATTTTAATTAAATACTAATTTGGATTATAAATATGAAATCTGATCATATGACTATGATAATAAATTACAAAAATGTAAACCTAAATGTAACATTTAAATTTAGAGTTACATTTTTAAAATAAAAAATACATATTAAAGATTTGCTGATAGTTTCATTGAGGTTTTAGCTTCTTCCTCTGTTTGTCTTTCAGCTCTTCCAGCCAGTGCCGGGACAGTCTGTGACGACTCAAAGCTGAATGGTACGTTTCATTTCTTTGCAAATGTTCAAACTTTAGCCGTGACACTTGCAGAGCCATCAGAGTTTCTAATCACAACTCTACTGGACTGTCTGGTGTTGAACTGCTGCGCTTTAAAAGGTGCATTTTTTAATTATCCTACAGATTTAATCACTACCAGGGGTCAACATTTTAACGTTTAGCTTTCTTATCATTAAATACCATGTTTTTCTTTCTGCCTGGTTAAAGGAATAAAGGTTACACTGATTCACTGCGCCATCTTCTGCTGCTTATTGGTATTACATGACAGTACAGCCAAGCCCTAATTCAGCTTCAGTCGATATTTCTTCGGCACAATAGAAAGATGTTTCAGACATGAATTCAAAGCAGTTGTTTCTTCACGTTCTCTGTGAGGCTTTTAATAAACGTCTGAAACTGATTCCTGCTTCCAGCTGAGACGACGTACCACACTCTGGAGGATGGCGGCGTGGTGGAGTACTGCACCACCACTGAGGGCGACTCTGCCCCGACTGTGGTGGCCGCAGTCGAGGCTCCCATGGAGATGCTGGCCTCGTCTTCCGTTTCCCCGCCGCCATCTCAGAGTCAGGCCAAACCGCAGGAGCTGAAGAGCCGCATTGCTCTGAACTCCGCCCGCCTGTTGCAGGAGCAGCGAGTCACCAACGTGCACATCCGCCAGATCGCCCAGCACCTGGAGGGCCAGAACGAGCTGCTGCAGATGATGCGGCGCTCCCAGGAGGCGCAGGCCTTTGCCCAGGAGAGGCAAGCTCAGGCACTGGAGGGCACGCAGGCCGCCCTGCTCGCGTTGGTGCAGATGCTCCGACCGGCTCTCAAAGACCTGAGGAAGTTTCTGCAGAGCGGGTCTGAGGCGGCGAACGCCAGCAGCTCTGTGGCAACACCGGCAACTGGAGCAACCATTGATGGAGTGGCAACGGAGGAGCAGAGCAGGCCCAAAACACCTCCGCCTCCTACTCCTACACAACAGGCTGAGGAGGCGCAGTAGACTCTGTGTGTGTGTGTGTATGTGTGTGTGTGTGTGTGTGTGTATGTGTGTGTGTGTGTGCGTGTGTGTGCGTGCGTACGTGTGTGAACCATGATTACACTTATGCCTTATGAAGAACATGTACAGAACCAATGGAGAACTGTTATTTTTATTTTTTTGCCACGACTTGATGTTATTTAATACCCTGAATCTGGTTTTCTGATCTTTTTTTATGCAAATATTTCATCAGCCTGATGGAAAATTAACGGGTTGGTTTTTTTAGACCGTGATGAGCCAGGTTTGTGTGTGAGCTGCACTTTAACCAGCATGTGTTCAGACCGGAATAAAGTGAAAAAGAGGCCAAACTCTTTATTTCCTGTCACATCTCTCCTGTTCCAGGGGCAGATGTTCATGTTAAACATGGTAAAAGAAGTCAGTGTGTGAATAAATGATCCCCATGAGTCAAAAGTTTTAAACACTTAGTTTCACACAATTTTTTCTACTCTTGGATCTGTATCATGTCATAGAGAGCAGGCTTTCTATAAAATACTTGAAACACGTCCAAAGTTCCACTCTTTTCTTGGTATCGTCTTCTTGTGCATCTCTAAATTGTTTTCGGAGCTTCCATCCGCTGTGGTGCTGTTATGTTCCTCCCGTACTGTAGCTCTGCAGTGTGTGATGGATCTTGTCCAGTGTATCCAAATGTTTCAGGGAGGCGATTGTGATGGCATGCACCACAGTTCATTTCCTCTGATTGTTCACTATCAGATGCCTCAGAGGACTTCACAGCAGGCCTCAGCAATGATGGTCTCACCCTGGGGATGATTTAATCGTGCAAAACTTGTTGAATGTTCAATAAAATGACGTGCTCTTGAAGGCGTGCCTTCAGGCTGGAAAACTGGATTCTGGGTGTATGATTCGATATATACTAAATAAAGTTAACTATGAAACACAAATCATGAAAGCCTACTCTAAAAAGCCAACACTTTAAAAGATGGAGATGGAAATATACAGAGCAGGTTGTTTTTTCTGCTGGCTGTAGTGCTTACAACCAGACAGCAGAGGTCAGTGTAAGTCAGAGTTTCATTACAGGTGTGTGAGCAGTGACGTTTGAGGTCCTGAGAGGGTGAGAGGAAGGAAATCCGTTTGTTAGTATCAGTATCGGATTAAATTTCACAAATGAGGACACTGCAGTACTGCAGGGTGTACTGGAGTTTGATGTTTTCATTTAAAAACCCTTAACAAATCAGTTATTCCTGAAATAATTAAAGTATTATTACTTCATAGTTCATCATTTCTACTTCAGGTTGTTTGCTGAACCTCTTTTTCCTTTTCCAGTCATGTGACCTGTCCCTAACAAAGAACGGTATCTAAAAAAGCTCAGTAAAGCACCTTTTACTATGAGTATTCCTGAGTTCAGAGCAAACATTGGCAATAACTCCTTGACCCTGTCGGCTGCTGTCACCATAAAATGAGATTCATTGGCGTTAGTTGCTGATATTTATCAGTCTTTAATCAATTTTTTTAAGAAGGCATCTTCATTTCCTGAAGCAAAGAGGGCACGAGGCAAACTTATCACCACAGTTTTGTATTTAGTTTAATTAGTTTCTGTGTTAGTCTTAGTATTATTGCATGGAGGGCATATGTCAGAGGGTAAGATTTAGGAAAGTTTGTACAGGTATTACAATAAAAACAGTTTTTAAAGCAGTGACTCACAGTCTTGCATCCAGAGTCTCAGTAAACACATCTATCAATGTCTCATCAGGGAAGTTTTTTATCAAACTACTGATGTACTAAAACTAACAGTATTTCCTCTGTAGCTCTATTTTATTTCAGATCAGTTAGTTTACATTTTTCAAAAGTGTAGTTTTTATTTTTATTTTAGTCAAAATATTTTTTCACATCTGATTTTAATAACCTTGCTT